TGGACTCGGCGATAGACAGTCCATCGAGAAACCCCAAAGAACTGAGCAATCTTTTTCCATGAAAACCCAATTCCACGAAGATCTTCCAAGGTTTCTGCAGGAATATAAAATGGTGGTCTACCTGGAGCTCCAGTTCTAACAGTGTCACACTGTCGCACAGAAATCGAAGATGGTCTCAAAGTTTGCGTTATAAGATGCTCTTGTACTACGAATAATAGTGCAGAAAATACCTGGGCCAAGGCTTCCCATTCAAGCCGATCTTCCTCATTTGACTCGGCAATAGATTTCAGCAGGTTAACAGTTTTATCCACAACTACATACTGAGCTTGTATATGACTTGTATCCGTTGTAGGATTGTCAAAACATTCCTCCAATTTGTCTAGCACCAAGAACATAAAGGCAGGTAAACCAGTTTCAATGTCAAACTCGTCAAGCTGTACAAGTGTTTCTTCTTGAAGTTCGGTCGCCATTTGCAATTCCATTGAGCCCGCGATCCCGGATGTCATAAGCCGGACGTTTCATTGAATTGAAGTTGAATTTCCATTGAATAAATTGAAGTTGAATTTTCATTGAATTGAAGTTGAATTTTCATTGAATTGAAGTTGAATTTTTATTGAATTGAAGTTGAATTTTCATTGAATTGAAATTGAATTTTCATTGAATTTGAAGTTGATTTTCATTGAATTGAAGTTGAATTTTCATTGAATTGAAGTTGAATTTCCATTGAATTGAAGTTGAATTTTCATTGAATTGAAGTTGAACTTTCATTGAATTGAAGTTGAATTTTCATTGAATTAAAGTTGAATTTTCATTGAATTGAAATTGAATTTTCATTGAATTTGAAGTTGATTTTCATTGAATTGAAGTTGAATTTTCATTGAATTGAAGTTGAATTTCCATTGAATTGAAGTTGAATTTTCATTGAATTGAAGTTGAACTTTCATTGAATTGAAGTTGAAGTTGAATTTTCATTGAATTGAAGTTGAATTTTCGTTGAAATTGAATTTTGATTGAATTGACGTTGAATTTTCCATTGAATTGACGTTGAATGTAGTTATTGAATATTGCTACAGTTGGCTTGCCATAATATGGCCAAGATTGGCGTTGACAAGAGGTTAACGGCCATAGTTGGGGTTGACATGAGGATTAACAGCAAGAAATATGAATTCATGGCCTTCAAATTCGAATTACACGCTGCATTGGCATTGGTCGGCTTTCAAAACAACAACAGGACATTTCCGGAGGCTGCTCCATTTACTGTTCGGAGTACTCCGGATTTTCGGAACACTAATTGAATCGAACCGAAAACGGTCACATGACTGTTCTGACTGCCCCTACTCAAAAGTAGGGGCAGCCAGAACAGTCATGTGACCGTCAGAACAGTCATGTGACCATTATTGGTTCGATTTAATTAGTGTTCCGAAAATCCGGAGTACTCCGAACAGTAAATGGAGCAGGCTCCCCGTAAGAGAGCGAACGTTTGGGGAGTTAGCGAATGGCCTCTGCGAATGTCCTGTTGTTGTTTTGAAAGCCGACCAATGACAATGCAGCGTGTAATTCGAATTTGCGTTATTCGGTTGATTTCTGTCAGCGTTTGTCCCAATTAGTCCAATTAACGGTCAAAGTGACCAGCCTTGTATTATTTCTTGCTGTTAATCCTCATGTCAACCCCAACTATGGCCGTTAACCTCTTTTCAACGCCAATCTTGGCCGGTTCTCGTTAAAATCTTTCAGGAAACACATGT